TTCCCTACAAGAGGGGTGAGATAAATTTTTAACAGATCTTAAGGTACAGACAGATAAATATTTGACTGATTCAAATTACAGTCGCATTAACACAACCAATAGCCTGGTAAACTGCATCCTGGAGCACAGGAACTTCTAAAATCAGCTTTGCCACTTGCGACAGTGTTTCTATAATGACATTCTATGTCAGGGAGCAAAGATACATTCCCCAGTTTTCCACATTCCATGTGGTGCCCTGACTGCCACCTGTGTCAGTACTTTTCTGGTTTTGGTGAAACCCTTTGGAGATTGTAAATTCCTCCATGTACAGCCCGGGAGGCCTTTTGAGATAAACACATCACAAGACACAAAACAGTCCTACACTCAGAATGAAATATTGCATATACCCACTATATACAGTGTCCATGTTACTCTGCTAGCACACACTCTTTTTCCTCATTGTCCTGTGAAAACCTCTTGATATGAAGGAAAAAGACAAGGATGAAGACAACTGAAAACAGTGCGTTGGTGTTTGTCCAGTATTGGGAACGTGCTAGGTTGACTGCAAAGGAGGAGAGAGACAAAGGCATCTTTGAATAGACCACACCCTTGGCATTTCCAAAACACTTACACAATCTGATAGAACACTCAAGTCCCCTAAAGGAAAGTGTGGCCTTTCTATCAGTACATTATTGGACCATACAGGTAACACAAAATTCTATAAAAAAAAAAATTAAGCAGCCAATCGCACAAGACTGCAAGGAGAATCGTAATTTTTCAGTTATAAACTTCACTGCGAGAGCTTCTAGCAATGTAACCTTTTCCAAGGAACTTCTCCTTTCCCTGCAGTAAACAAAGGACCTTCCACAAACTGTGGAAAACATTTTAGTGGCTACAGATTACTGAAGTTTCAGGGGCTGAAGTACATTCCCAAGAAGCTCGCTCCCTAGACACAACACCCCATTTCTGAGCAGGGTCACAGTGATCAGTCCTTGCTTGAAGAAGAATACAGACTAAGTTTTGTGAAAACAAAACTGTACAGAAGAATAAAAGGTTTGCTGATATGTAGGTATTATGCTGTCCTAGATACCCATCTTTATCTACAGATGTGCAGTGAAACTGGCTTCTTTCGTGGGAGAGCTTGATAAAAAGCACTCACTTGAGAAAGACTAAAGCTGGGTTGGCTACACAGGAATGTTTTGTCCCAGACAAAGAAGTCATTCCTAGGAACTAGAAGAAAACAGCAGCAGAGATTAACTAACGTACTATGAGAAGAAATAAGCAAATTGGAAGTCATAGTGTACCGTATTTTAGAAAGACAAACTTGTAGACAAAAAAAAAAAAGTCTCAAGAGAATCTCAAGAAATTACATACCAGCAGCATAAACAAATATGCTTTTGGAAGTCTTCACCTAATCAATACCCAAATACCTCTTCGGCTCTAGTATGTGTAAGGGAAGTCATAGATTTAGACCTCTAAAAAGCCACCATAGTCCCTGAATCTCTCTCCATTCACTGCCTCCCTAAAAGGCATTTTTACTTTCTTAGAAGGTACTTGGTTCTTTTAGGCATATCTGTCCATGTCGAGATAAAGTTACATAAAGTTTTAAGTCTTTGCTTAAAAGAATTCCAACTCAGATAATATTCATGTAGTAAAAATACAACAAACTTGGTAGGAATTCATTTCGCCTTGCCCCCCAGTACACTGAAACCAAAATTTAAATAGGTTACGTATTACAATGTACTTTAAGTGTCCATTTTAAATTTCTAAGGGGGGACATCCCTTACAGTACTTTAAAATTATTATACCATTCTCAACTGTCCTTCCTTTTAAAATTTGCAGTTTCTGTTGGAATCAAAATTCCAAATCTCAAAAAACTCCTCACAGATAAAATGGTCTCATTTAGTAAATATCCCTTGAGTCATGGTCATAAATCTAGTACACTAAATCCAAGCAAGAAAATAGGGTCATGCTTACCTACTTTTGCTTTATGCATATTAGAATGTACTTTAAGTGTCCATTTTAAGTATTTCCATGGAGGAATTTTCGGGGCAACTTGGTGCCAAAATATTTCAGCATATTTTAATAGCTATCAGTGTTTTCTATGTATTGATATACTACGTATTTAGAAGTAATTTTGGTGATCTCACCAATCCCTGGTTTTTGTTTGTACAGAAACAGAGACAAAAATTCTGTTTCAGGTTAAGTTCACATTGCAAAACACCACTATACATTTTAAATTAACACATTTTACAGCTTTCTATTTTTTTAAAAAAAATTACATATGCACTACTTAATATTTGCAGATTTGTTGTCTTACCAAGAACTGATGGATGCATGGCAAAAGCACTATATCTGCCAAGGTAAAGTAAAGCCCTTCTGCAAAAACATGGTCCAAAAGCGGAAGGTCAGAGGTTTTTGTTCTCCTGATGTGGGGGGCCTCCCTGTTGATTGCATCTGATACTTCCTGGTCAAGTAGCTTGGAGAAAGCTATGCTCAGTTCCAAACTTGGGAGTGGCTGTTCATGCATTTCCACTGTTTTTCCTTCCTCTGTTGCTTCTTTACCAAGTACAGGCACTGCAGCCTTGGCACCTGCCTTCTGTTGTTGAAGTTTTTGCCTTCGAATTTTGTCATCATTATGTACTCGGACAGGCTCTCCAAGCTTCCTTTCAAGCTGTAAAATGTCAGGAGGAATAGTTTGACAGTGCTCGGGAGACGCCGACAAAAATCCTTCAACAGCCAGAGGTATGCTGATCTCACAAAGTCTGGTCCACTGGCTAACCTGTCAGACAAATTTATGTAATTAATGTCACTACAGAAAGAGAAAAAATCCAGGGTACCTTTTTGCACACTTTAAGCAAAGAAATTCCAGCCAACAGTGGGAAATCCAGCTTTTAATGCATTCTTTGATAATCTTGGAAGCTCAGGTATTTTTTTATTACTTTTGCAATAGCAGAATTAGGAAGCTAAAACTTATATATAACAGAATGAACACTTATCCAGTATAGCTTATTTTTATTCCTTACTATTGGCATAAGATTACAGTGGCAGCATAACTCACTAGAAGCAAAGCTGTGATCAATTTCTATATGTCATCTCCATCAAGTGCTAGTAATAAAACCAGAATGTTACAGCAAACAGATTTTGAGCACATTTATGTTACAGAAATGCATTATATTATTAGTGGGGTTGTAGCATGCAACATCAAAAAACTTTAGTCTAACCAAACAACACCTTAAAATAAATTACTTTTTTTTTCATGTTCTTATCCTTGTCCTCTTTGCCTTATTATCTGTACTTAAAGGTTTTAAAGCTTTTAAACTCTTGTATTTTCTTATTCAGTTTACTCACTTCGCAGCCATCTGAAACATGGAATCAAGTTTTCCAGCAGTTCCCAGAAGAGATTAGAACCAGAGGTTTCTGGAGGATGCCAGGGACAATTTATTTTACGCTAGTGCTAGACGGACTAACACGAGGATATGCTTCCACAGATCCTCCACTCACCAACAGGAATGAACTGGGCTGGAGGCACAGTAATCAATGGCAACCATGGACGTAGCAATCATGAAATTACAGTAGAGTTCAACCTCCTGAGAGGAGCGAGGAAGGCAAGTCTAGATGGATGAACTGCCAGATGAGTAAACTGCTATATGATAAACGGGCCGAAATACCAACTCAAAGGGTAGTAGTGGTTCACACTCTACCTGAAGGTCAGTTAGAAGCAGAGCTCTTTAGGGGTCTAGGCTGAGGCCTATCCTATTTAATTACCTTTACCAGTGACCTGGAGGGAGAGATGAAATATGCTCACATCCAGGATGACACCGAGTTGAGAGAAGCAGTCAATAAACTCCAAAAAAGGGCTGCCATTCATAGGGGCTTACCCAGGCTAGAGAATGGGCTGACAGGATCTTCCCAAAACTCACTAAAACATCCCACATCTAGGATGGACTAAAGCTCTGTAATAGCACAGGCTAGGGACTGACTACGTGGCCAGGTAGCAGCTCTGCTGAAAAGGCCCTGGACACCCTGGTAAGCATAAGCTAAACATAAGCCAGCAGCATGCCTTGGCAGTGACAAAGTGCTCTTGAAATCAAAATTAACAATAAATTAGGTATTTCTTAGTTCACTTCAAACTGGAAGAGCTGTACTTTATAACTCATTGATGCTATAGTGCTAGACATGAAACAAAGATCTGACCCATTTTTTTGAATCTTAAGATTCTTTTTGTGCTGCTAAAAAGTAGTATCTTAAAAGAGCTATTGTTCATCTTTATGCCAAAATACAGATACTTCTCCACTGAGGAAATTTCATTTTCTACACAAATTAAGTTTCTTGCTAAAAGAACTTAGTTTACATCAATATTAAGAGTCTAATTCAGAGTATTTAATTGTTTTAAGAAACCCTATTAATGTACCTAAAAGAAGGAGATGCACTCACTTCAGCACAGGCTTTTAAGCAGGTCTTCTTAAAACCTAAGAGCTCCAAAACATCCTTTTTAGATGGATCTGCCTCATATGTTTTCTGTATTATATGCCTTAAGACAACAGAAAGCCCAGCTCGGCAGAACTTGCCATCTTTCACAACAACAGCAGGTAAACAGCAGCTCTGCACAACCACTGGAAGCTGACGTCTGGAGATTAAATGGACCTCAAGATCGCCAAGGAGTTTTTTTGTCACAGGCTGATCATCCACATTTTCACCAGTCGGCACTAAGAAAACTTTGAAAAATTTGCAGTCACAGTAGGATAGCAAAAACAGTGAAATAGATGTATGAAGAGGAAAGATACTATCTCTGTACTGATGAGAAAAACCCAAATATAAATGTTCTTCAGCAACACTATCTTTCATCTTCCTCCTGAGCTGAAGTTCCTGAAAAAGAAATCAATACACAATGTTCATAAAAGAATACAGAATTTAGGACAAAAAAGAGGATTTGAAACAGTGATCCTACCACTACCTGCTAAAACCGATTTTAACATAAGACACTATTAAAGATATCCTGCCTGAATAAGTGGACTGCAGGGCCTTCTTGAGAGAAAGGAATGGTTTCATATATACAGCATCTCTCCAAATCACTATTAGGGAAATGATCTGTGTAAACTTCTTTTTACATTTTAGCATATTCTTGACATTAAAAAAAACCAGACAAAATCAAAAGAAAATACTTCCTTTCACTTTTTTAGTTTATAAACATTTTCTAGCAAGGCTTTTTAAAAAAAAAAAAAAAAAAATCAATCATCTCCCACAACATTAACCATATATTATTGAAAAACAAGTTCCTGAGCACATATCTACAACAGTCAGTTTCCTAACACACATTTGTCTTTCTGAAACTGTTAGAAAATTTAGGCCAAGGGAAATAATACTGGTTTCTGTATTAAAAAGTAATCTAGAGCCTGGCAAGATACTAAGTGAAGGTCAAGAGGACACATAAGAAGAAAAAAAACGTTAATTTCAAGAATGCTATATTAACACCTCAAACACACAACTACTTTAAAGCAGTTAACATAGCTGAAACTAATGTCTTCTCATTATGTTAAAAACTTAAATAGTTTTCCTTATACTTGGTTAAAAATTACATTTTTCCCGTTAAACTATTCCACACCAGTTTAATACAAAACAACGATGCAATAATTTTTCTGCTCTATCACCCAATAAAATTGTCCATTAACTTATAAATCACTTGCATTGAAAAGCTGTAGACACTAGATGGCACTCTTAAAACAATCATTATAGAAGAAAGCTTTATAATAAAAGTGAAAGAAATCTGAACGTTGCTAAGAAAAGTCAGTATTTTTTTTATATACATATATATAAAGCGCAACTGACATTGGAACAGCATCAGTCTTTCAAATAACTGTCTAGATAAGTAAGGCCTCTGTGCAGTTACTTGAATATGACGTAATTATTTTAAAAGCAAAAAAGGTTTTCATTTCATAGCTCTAGATTATTGGATTTTTTTTTCCATGTAGACGTGTACATCAAATTTACTATTTTAGATCATCTAGCACTGGGCCAAATCAATTGTCCAAAAAGAGGCAGTGGAAGAATAAAATCAAGTCCACCTGCCATTAAGTAAAGATCATAACGATGATTGTTATAGTGAAGTATTTTTAAACCATTACATTACATGACATTGTCTCAGAACAACAGTGGCTCAACATAATAGCACTGTTGCTTTTCTTTAATTAATACACCTGCCACAAAGACTAGTACAATACATAATGAAATACCTACTTCCCTAAAAGCTATTTTATTTGGATAAATCTTTACAGCATGTAAGTCAAGACAGATTCAATACTGTAAGTACAGCTCTATGGGAGAAACTATATAGTGAAGGTAACATTGCGGAGATTAGTCAAGCAGAGTTAGTCTTACCTGCTAAATCCACAGGTGCTAGCACTTAAACTCATATCCTCGACTACAGTACTTCTTTCAACATTAAATAGTATCCTCATATGCATTTGGGTTGTTTTTATTTTCCATGGGAACCCATAGAGCATACAACCCACCTTTCCCTGGCCACTCAAGCCACTCAGGCATACATATTCACCTTACAAATCATTTCACCACTGACTTTTTTCTTCTGGTTGATCTTACTGGCCATAATCAGCTTTTTTGGTCATTATCATGCTGTATAGAACTGCTAAATATTTTGGTAAATTCTGAAGAGGTTTCTATTTCCAAAGTGTATTATTCTGTAGTTCCCATCTGTTAATCATTTTTTCTTACAAATTATTCCAAATCCATCACTCAGGACTGCACAAGTAAAACATTAACCTTTTCACCACACAGGTACTCTCAATAGGTACATCGGCCCTTGCCCATTTTCATCCAGAGTATCAGCTCTGAAGCACTGTTTCCCCACAGAGGACACTATATCATTAGACTAAAAATAAAAAATAAATACTTGAAAGATGCCCAGATAGAAGCACTACTTAATCAGGCTACTGATTAAAATTTCAAAAACGTCCTGCTGTGAAAACTGGTAGATGAGAGGGTGAACACCGTCATTGTGAATTCTCCTCCAATCTGTTGAACAAAATTACTTCTACCCAGTAGCAATGAGTAATAGATAGCAGCCATCAGTCAGTCCCAGAGATAGTAACTGATTGGAAATAATGACTTGTTGGTTATTGGTCTGCTGTGTATTCAACCCAGTAAATGCCACAGCTGACACTATCCTACTAATCCACCTGTCTCCGTGAAGTTTGAAATGAGACTTGAAATTTGTCTGGTCAAATTCAACTATTCTTATCCTCAGGTAAACATACAGAAGTCGCATAAACCAGATAAACCAATACTAGGACCTTGCTGAAGCAGGATAAGCAGATGTCATCCACTCCATTCTCTTGACAGTGCTGGAAAAGAGGAATATGCATGCAGCTCACTTCATTTAGTCCATAGTATCTTAACTTAAAGTCAACTTCCCTCAACCATTTTAGGTAAGGCTCTGGATTTTGCACTGAAGCAAAGGTATACTCAGGAAAGATCTGTTCTTCTAAATGCCTTGAAGAGAGAACCTCTGGGAGGCAGCTGGGCCAGACAGCTTGAGGGTGGTTACTAGCTTCTTCAAAACTCAAAGTAATTTTTTGTGAGCATACACAGTAATCTACCACCACTCAGCTGCAACATGGTGAGCTATAGGAGAGAGACTGAACTATTTTTCTGAACCTAAGTGAACTTCTACAAAGACAGAAAGAACACAGAATCAGTGACATTTGTGATCTACTTACACAGCAGCATTATGCTCACACTGTAAAATCAGAACTTTTTGTAGAATTGATTAGCAAAAAAATTACTCTGGGCAGAAAGGAAAGGCCACGACTTTTCTTCCCCCTCAGCCAGAGCAGTAAATTAATGTCGTTCAGCATCTAGCCACAAAAGTGCCTGTGTAAAGCACATGGTAGAAACGTGCGACTGCAGGTGACAGGGAGCCCAGGACAGTTCTTGTTTTGACAGTGGTGGCTCAGACCTAGATAGCGTCAACTGGTCTTGGTATCACACTGAATCGGCTTAGTACCCTCTAGTTCCACAACTTGTCAGTTATACCTTCTCCAGACTCAGTTCAGACTCTGATTTGGCTCTTTCTTGTATTGTCCTTCCTCAGGTAAAGCCACCTCACACAGGCTTAGCAGTCCTTGAAATAAGCTTAGATAGCCTGAGAGGGGTTCTCACTTAAGACTGACCAGTACAGTCACAAGTTGCTGTACTCAGTGGCTAGCAGACCTCCAGTACCTGCCCGTAATTATCTACTCATGAGCCCAAAAGGAGAAAAAAGTTCTCCAGTAACTCTCCACAGAATTGCATGATTCACCTCCATGAAGTACAAAGGAGCAACGAACAGGTCTACAGAGGTAAGCACAATGCTCAGTATCATTTGAGTTTAACTGCTCAAACACAGGTAGCTATATTAACCCCAAAATAAAACCAGGGCTTTCATTGCTCATTGACAAGAATCTCAGGGCTCTTAGTGAAGTTGCAGTACCAGCTGTTGAATTTTTCTGATATATAAAAAAGCCACTTCTACATTTTCTTCTAGTAGGGATAGGCAGTTGTTTTTAGTAAGTTTTCCAAAAGCTAGATTCTCCTTCAGCTAGGTTCTGTGCACACACTGAAGTTGCATTTATCCCCCAAAACAAAAAATTTTAAATATCATTCACTCATAAAACATTCATTAGCTACTCAGTTTGTTTTGTTGCTTTTTTTTTTTTTAAAGTACTCATAAAAAGTTTTAGAGGAGGATTCACATATCAAGGTGAAGGGGAGGAGAATAGTTAAGCTAAAGCAGCTGTTTCAGTTAATTAGACTCTCTCATATGGTTGAAGAGGAAATCCAAACATGAAAATTATGGTCAAAATTAAGAGAATTTCCTTTTTAAAGAATCACATAAACAGTGCCAGTATCAATACAGCAACAATTAATCATCCCAATTAGTAATACTGAATCAAATAAAAACAAACTGTAAATTGGTAATTTCTGAAAAAAAAGCACAAGCAACTAATATCTTACACTTAACAGCAGAATAAACTCCAGAGCAGGAGGTAACTCCAGCTCTCATCACAAAAAATACAAATGTCTCATTTCTTTGGTTTTCAGGGAGAGTTAAGAACATTGCATATTGCACAAGACTGGGCCTTAAATCTGAGAATAGGTACATATATACACAAATGATTTCCAGACCCTGACAAACTAATCTGTCATTTCATCATTCATATGACAGCAATTCATTTTGGTTCATACAGGCAATCAGATCTCTCTCAACTAAAGGTCCTGATCCCGCAAGCATTCATGGTACCTGACCTGAAGGCATCTTTGCAATATACTGTCCCATTATTTTCAAATATAGTCCCAAATTCTTCTCGTATAGCATACTGCTGTTTCTCCTACAGAAGTCCTTTTTCTGCTCAGATTTGCAGTGCTACAACACTGAAATTGGTTTCCCAGAACCATACTCCCTGTTCTGCTACTGATTTAGATCTGAGTTATTAAACTTACTGTCTGGAATGGAACAAATTATATTTTAATTAGGGTCCATTTAGGTCAATAATACTTGTGTTTCCACAGCTAACCTTCATGGGCTGAAAAGATGAGCTTCACTCAGTAGGAAAACAAAAGAAATGTTGCAGTTAAAGCTCCTGTTTGCATCCTCCCTCTGTTTCTCTCCTCTTTGCTATGCCCAGCATGGTGGTTCAGGGACACGTCTCCTTTATAGTTGCCAAAGAACTTTCATCTAAATTCAAAGGAAGCCCAAACAAACATGCTAAATTATGCATCATTTAGGCTCAAATATCAAACTAACTATTTTTAAAACTCTATCGACTTAATGAAGGTTAAGATTCACTCGTCAATTTGCTCAGGTTTGCTCCTCCCTCTCCTTCCAATACTCACACTTAATTCTTTATTTCACCCAATTGAAAATCCAAATTATTTAGATAAAGGTACCATCCTCAAACAAGAACAGATAAGCTTATTAGCTGATATTCCTGCT